AAGATTGTGTTACTTTTTCTGGTTTTTATCCCAAGACGTAAGTAAAAGGTTAGAATTTCTCTCATACCAAGGCTATAAGAGTATAGTCCATATCTTACCCTGTAGAAACAGAATCTGGATACAATACCTAGATGCATTTTTTATTACTTATACAGAAAGTCCACTGAGTCGTTATTGAGAGTAAAATGTGAGAGTGATGTAGCGGTGGTGAGGTGGAGGATCACAAGGCGTCGCAGTGAGGACCGTAACAATCCATTCCAGGTGGATGACTTGATTAGTCGGCTAAAGTGAGTTAGAGCTCCCTCAGTTGCACCAGCCTGTGAGCCTTAACAGGATTACAAGTCATCTGCTCCAGCTATACCAGCCAATGGTCATTAAACATGCTCTCTACTCTTGTTCTTTGGATTCAAAAACATAACCACGTCCCCTCAAGAATCAAATCAGCAAATGATCAAATAAACACTTTTATAACTATTTTAATTTTGTTCTTTTTTTTTTTACTCTGTGTATCTTTTAGTTCATGATTGCTCTCTCTTGTTTTCTTACCCTCATTCAGCTTGCTTTTTCGTTTTTTGAAGTGTGTTAGTTTGGTTTTTGAAAACTGTCTCTCCAGCTTGAATGTGCGCAGTATCTGCCTCCCATGTCAACATATGGATCTGCTAATGTGACACATGCTTTTGGCGCCCTCTGCTGTCCCCTCTGTGTCATTGTAATGGCCAGCAGGATCAAGAAAGTAAAGGGTTACATCCGTGTCCCTGTCGCAGCATATCCCTCTACTTCTTCCTCTACATTTGTTTTCATCTGTCTTCCCTCAGTTTGTTTTCATTCTTTACTCCATGCTTGTGCAGGAGGTTGGTCCTTTTTGCCAACTTATTTCTCATTTTTCATTAATCCATCATATTAGAAATGTTAAACTTCATCAACTTAGAAAAGAGTGGGGGGCTCTAGGGCTGAAATTGCTGCTGAAAGCATATAAATGCCTTATAAATCCAAATCCTTTCATCCTTAAAGAGCTGCACCCTCTTTTCAGCTAAAATGATGAAGTTTGGCAAAGCAAAGCATTATCATGTAAATAACATCTAAGCAGTTTTTGTTTAAAGGAATATGAAAAAAGTAGGGCCGATTAATATTCTCCTAGATGTTAGACTGTCTGATTGCTCTCTTTTTCTCTCCTAGCCTTCGCCATTCTATCTCTTCTCCCCCTATGAAGTTCTCTCAAGCTGCGTAAGCATGACCGTATAACCGCACGTCCGTAGCGGCATGACCATTAGCACGCTGTCACGTCCTCCCAGTAACACATTGTTAATAACGTCTGTTTATGTTTTTGTTGTGCTCCTTTTTTTTTTTGGATTGAGTTAATAATTAATTTTTTTTTGCTGTGACACAACGATGGACCCCCAGACTTATGTCGTTTGTCTCATTTTTATATGTCATTTTGTTTTTTGTTTTTTCATTGTTCGGTTGTTGTTCTCGTCATGTTCTCCCAAACTGTGTCTGTGGTCTGGTGGTGACAGATCACACTTCAATTTCCCACGTCCGGAATCTCATTGAGGTTATCACATTTACTTCTATTTTATCTGTCGTTTCTCGTAGCCTGTCTGGTAGTTCCCTACCGTCTCGACAAAATTGTTTGTCATTCGTAACAAATATAATCTGATCTTATGTAGTAGTTGCTCACTCATGTCTTACACTGCATGCCAAATTCATTTATACAGTGGTCTAAGAATGCTGTTCTGTAAGAAGTGATTTTAAGAGAAATGTCCGTTGCCAGGCCTCCTATCACATATCATATTTTCATGGACCAAGACAATTAAGTATTAAATTTGAACATTTTTAGGAAATAGACTTTTTATTTGTTTTTTTAAGTTAGTCTGTTATTAATAAATATCGAAGGCTAACAGACCTCAGTAATAGTTACTATAGTTTGCTTAGCATAAAGACTGGGATCCACAAAGAGAGTTGAACAGCTAGGCTTCACATTTTTAAACCTGTCCTCACCATCTTTATTTGTGGGGGGTGGGGGGGGTCATACTAAGGCAACATACAGTATAAGAGCTTTAAGACGTCAGTGCTGTTTTGTGAGTTCTCATTGACAAAGCTGTATTCTCTCTGACGACCACCACAGCAGCAATCGCCGCGCTCGCTCATTTGTCACAAAGAGCTTATGAAGAGGACTCTGGGCCGACCCACATATGCTTTCGAAGCCAGGCAATATGTTGTAAGTGTGCGTGATGGGCGTCAGTGAGTACCAGCGGTGTGTGTGTGTGCGTGGTCGGAAGAAAGTATGAATGAGTATTTTGTGTGTGTGTGTGTGTGTGGATGTGTGTGATTACTAAAAGCCATATACAACACAGGCAGTAGCCTCATTAATAACAATTTGTTGTGTGACATGTTCGGTCTCTACGAGGAGATTGTTTGTCACAGTTAATGAGGAAAATTGTCCTCACAAAGGAGGCGAGTGTCTGTGCCTGGCTCATTATTGATCACATGGCCCGGACACGTGTAGAAGCAGGACGAATGATCAGAGAAGATGATGACTTCATCCCACATCACATGTATCTGCTTGAGGTTTTCTTGATGCTCGCTGTGTCCCGCAGCTGTTTCAGGGCTTCCCCCACTGAGCATCTACAAGGGGTCAATTCACAAAGTGTTACAAGCACCTGTGGATGTGGGTAACTACGGGCGTGAGGATGCTATTCATCCCACCCAGCAATCACCCCTCCTTGCCAATTAAATCCCACCGTCAGGTGTGGTGTTGGTCACACTTTGGATCTGGGTCCAGCCTACAGGACCCAGAATTCACCCCTCCAGGGCTTTGTTTGTGCTGGTGTGCCATACAGCAGCGATGTTTTCTGTCTGTAAGTACCATAATATACCTGTGTATCTGTGTCTGTCTGGGTGGTTGGAAAGAGCTCAGGTAGATTGTGTTTATCAAACTATTATTATTGTTATTTGCTGAGACTGTAGAATAAAACACTGACATCATGCGACTCACTCCTGCTTACGGCAAACTGCAGGTTTCAAATGATTGCATGATTTATCACACGTGTGCTCAGAGCAGGAATAGCCAATCAGAGACAAGGATTTACCCAGAATCTGCCTCATTTTACTCAGTGGCCTGGTATTCTGCATATGTGATTTAAATGTTTAATTTTCATGGTCAGTTTATTTGTGTGAAAAATAGCTAATATACAGTATTAGTATAAATAGGGATTACATTATTGGAAATTGGCAGAAATGGAACAAAGAGACTTGAGCGTGAAAGAAATCATGCTGTTGGTAGATGAGTTGCATCGGATCCAATCATGATAAAAAGGATTCAGTAGCAGATGTAAGCAAATGTAGATGCATGGAAAGTGATTGCAAACACGTTTGACTCTTGTTGTTTGCAGACTTGACACATGCAAAATAAGGAATTAAAAGTGGTTTAATATCCTATTAAATGTTCAAATCAAATTCAAATTGTACCACATTCTGATTTATACATATTTTCTTCATTAAGATTTGTGTACTTTTTCTGTTTTTTATCCCAAGACGTAAGTTAAAAGGTTAGAATTTCTCTCATACCAAGGCTCATAAGAGTATAGTCCATATCTTACCCTGTAGAAACAGAATCAGTGGATACAAACCTAGATGCATTTTTATTACTTATACAGAAAGTACACTGAGTGTTATGAGAGTAAATGTGAGAGTGATGTAGCGGTGGTGAGGTGGAGGATCACAAGGCGTCGCAGTGAGGACCGTAACAATCCATTCCAGGTGGATGACTTGATTAGTCGGCTAAAGTGAGTAGAGCTCCTCAGTGCACCAGCCTGTGAGCCTCTAACAGGATTACAAGTCATCTGCTCCAGCTATACCAGCCAATGGTCATTAACATGCTCTCTACTCTTGTTCTTTGGATTCAAAAACATAACCACGTCCCCTCAAGAATCACTCAGCAAATGATCCAAATAAACACTTTTATAACTATTTTAATTTTGTTCTTTTTTTTGTTTACTCTGTGTATCTTTTAGTTCATGATTGCTCTCTCTTGTTTTCTACCCTCATTCAGCTGCTTTCGTTTTGAAGTGTGTTAGTTTGGTTTTGGAAACTGTCTCTCCAGCTTGAATGTGCGCAGTATCTGCCTCCCATGTCAACATATGGATCTGCTAATGTGACACATGCTTTTGGCGCCCTCTGCTGTCCCCTCTGTGTCATTGTAATGGCAGCAGGATCAAGAAGTAAAGGGTACATCCGTGTCCCTGTCGCAGCCATTATCCCTCTACTTCTTCCTCTACATTTGTTTTCATCTGTCTTCCCTCAGTTGTTTTCATTCTTTACTCCATGCTTGTGCAGTAGGTTGGTCCTTTTTGCCAACTTATTTCTCATTTTTCATTAATCCATCATATTAGAAATGTTAAACTTCATCACATTAGAAAAGAGTGGGGGGCTCTAGGGCTGAAATTGCTGCTGAAAGCATATAAAATGCTTATAAATCCAAATCCTTCATCCTTTAAGAGCTGCACCCTCTTTCAGCTAAATGATGAAGTTTGGCAAAGCAAAGCATTATCATAAAATACATCTAAGCAGTTTTTGTTTAAAGGAAAATGAAACAAGTGGCCATAATATTCTCCTGATGTTGACTTTTGTCTGTTGTCTCTTTTTCTCTCCTGCTCTTCGCCATTTCTATCTCTTCTCCCCCCATGAAGCTTTCTCTCAAGCTGGTAAGCATGACCGTATAACCGCACGTCCGTAGCGGCATGACCATAGCACGCATGTCACGTCCTCCCAGTAACACATTGTTAATAACGTTCTGTTATGTTTTTGTTGTGCTCCTTTTTTTTTTTTTTTGGAATTGAGTTAATAATTTAATTTTTTTTTTTTTTGCTGTGACACAACGATGGACCCCCAGACTCATGTCGTTGTCTCATTTTATATGTCATTTTGTTGTTTGTTTTCATGTTGCGGTTGTGTTCTCGTCATGTCTCTCCCAAACTGTGTCTGTGGTCTCTGTGGTGCAGATCACACTCAATTCCCACGTCCGGAATCTCATTGAGGTGATCACATTTACTCTATGTTTTATCTGTCCGTCTCGTAGCCTGTCTGGTAGTCCCTACCGTCTCGACAAAATTGTTTGTCATCGTAACAAATACTAATCTGATCTTATGTAGTAGTTGCTCACTCATGTCCTTACACTGCATGCCAAATTTCATTTATACAGTAGAATGCTGTTCTGTAAAAGTGATTTAAGAGAAATGTCCGTTGCCAGGCCTCCTTCACTTCATATTTTCAGACCAAGACAATTTAAGTATTAAATTATTTGACATTTTAGGAAATAGACTTTTATTGTTTTAGTTTTATTGTTTTAATAAATATGAGGCTACAGCCAGTAAATAGTTACTATAGTTTGCTTAGCATAAAGACTGGACACAGGTTGACGCTGGCTCACTTTTAAACCTGTCATATCTTTATTTTTAATACTGGCAGTTAATGCCCCCGGCTAAGAAATAGTTCACCTTTGGAAATCTGTTTCCCCTCCTGCTTCCAGTCTTTATGCTAAGCTAAACCAAGCTAACCACCTGTTGGCCGTGGCTTCATATTTGCCTTACAGACACGACAGCGTCTCTCTGCAAGAAAGAGAAGCGGATTTCTTGAAATGTGGAACTAAGCTGATTTATATAATGAAATTACGCCGTTTCATGATTTTTTTATAATTTCAGTATTATTGTATTTAATGTGTATAGATTTTTAATTTTCTAAATCTATGTCTGATTCCAAACAGAGCAATACATTTGTAAATTCATCATACTGCAGGCATTAATGTTGTACCTGCCCATAGTTTTACTTTTTATCATGTAGAGTTAAATTGCATTTTAGATAATAATGTTTTCATTTGTCTTGGCTACATAGAGGAAGTAAACACTAATACATGACGTCTGTACTGTAACGTGTGACTGAGAAAGGAGCATGTCTCTGCATGATGACTGACAGATCTTTGTTATGTTGCATGCCCGGTAAGTGTTGCGTGATGATGCAGGCAGAAAGGGTAAGGTTGCCATGGTAACCTAGCTGCTGTGTTTGACCTGGCTCATGTGCGGTGAATCCTGACCTCGAGTCTGTAGCTCCAGCAGTTAATAACCTGTGGTGACCCATCTCAATGAGATCCAATCACAGACCTTGATCTATTCAGTCCACACAAAATAAAGTCAGAGACTAGAGTCCCAATGGGATTAAAATTAATTAAGTGAATACATATACTTATATGAATAAATAGAGAAAATTGTGGAATGAATGAACAAATTGTGAAATAATTTGACAAAATATGAAAAAAGTGAATTATTCTAATAATAACAGGGTGGTTTTAGAGTCATTATAGAGATTCTCATTTAAAAAGTGAAACTTTAATGTCACAATATGGTCACTTAGTCCCCGCCCCCTCACCTTTCATCATATACCCCCACAGGGCTTACCAATTACTATATTAGGGAAAAATATTAGGGCTTTTTCTGTGGGCTGGTCTTTAACTGCAGTTTGGAAGTTTACCAGAAGTGCATCTGGCAAAATAATGTCTTCATCTCTGAAGTCTTTCCTCTTGTGAAAGTAAAACATATTGTTTTAAAACACTTCCAGTAAAGCATTCATCTCATTTTTGTATGGCTTGTCCAGGTTGGTTTGTCAAGCTAACCAACTGCCAGCTAACTAGTTTAGCCTCTGTCAGCTAAAGCAACCACAGAGAAAGGTTGTGTGCTAGCTAGCTAGCTGCTGCTGCTGCTACACTTTTATGCCAAGTAATAATCCAAAGTTAGACCCCAACCTGACTAGTTAACTAGATTGGTAGGTAGCATCTGCAGCATTATTAAACTAAGTTCAAAGAGAAGTTAGTTACTGTACAGAGTTTCTTTACAGGAGCAGCTAGTTGGTTGTTTTTGCTAATGGACAGGAAATCAGATAAGAATTTAAAAATCCTGAGTTGAGTTTTACTAATTTATGAAATTATTTCACAATTTAATGGTTCATTTATATATTTTAGTTTATCTATTCATATAAATATAATTCATATGTGATTGAACTTGCTCCATACAGACCAGGCGTCACTATAATATAGCAAGTCTCAGAATACAGATACATTATATCTGCAGAAAGTCCAGTGTGAAACCTTCTCATCTGGGAATATCACCCATTAGCCAGCTCACACATCCACCACTATAAGAACACACAGTCCCGGCAGACAGCTTCAGGCGCATTAGCCAGCTCACACTGAAACGCTATATGAGCTATAATAGGATGTAGGTAACACAATATCACATTTCCGATACATTCACAGAGAGCACTAGATTAGGTGTGGCGACTGAATAGGTGAAAGGCCTCAAGTCTATACACAGACAAACAACCCAGCTCTCAGTGACTGTGTGTTAGAGAGCGGCTGCAGTATCTCCTTCAGGTTGAATTATGTGGTTTGAACATAAAAAGAGCTCCATTTGTGGTGCTGTTATCTATTTATCCCTGAGTCTTGGTTCACAGGGTTCACAGCAAAGGGAGATACTGCACCTGACTAGATCCCTGGCAAAGCAGCAACACAACAAATAATAGATTATAAAAATTTATATATCTTTATCTTACGGTTTCTTTCCATCTCTTTCCCCATTTTTTTTCCCCCGGTTCTCCTTCCTTCCTCTCTTCCTCCCTTTTTGTTTTTTTTTTCCTCTCAGGGTTCTGGACCAGAGGACTTCAGCCACCTGCCACCGGAGCAGAGGAGGAAGAAGCTGCAGGGCAAGATAGATGAATTAAATAAAGACATTCAAAAAGAGATGGACCAGAGGTAACTTTTATAAAGTGTTTACCTCTTTAATACGCAACAAAGACTCAAAGACTTGTACTGACAGTTGTAATTTGTTTCTTATAGGGACGCTCTAACTAAGATGAAAGACGTGTACGTGAAGAACCCTCAGATGGGAGACCCTACCAGCGTAGACCCCCGACTATTAGAAATAGGCCAGAACATCGAGAAGCTCCAGTTTGAAGTGCAGAAATTTGAGGTTAGTCCGGTGCCAGCCTCGGCTCCCATTTCTGTGTGAATGTTAGTGTTGGCAAAGTTATCTTGTTTGGTTTATGCGAGACAGTAAATAATGAGGAGTTCAAACACACGTCTCCAGCTGGGATAGTTCCAGAGAAGACGGCTGCTCGTCCATATTAGGAGAAGATGTGATGCAGCTGGAGGGGCTGGCTGCCTTGTTCCACCTCTGTGAAGGCAGAGAGGAGTCCCAGAGCAACAGCCTGGTTGAACACTGTAAATAAATGGCAAACCAGGTGGAGAGTGAGGCAGAGAGATGCTTGCCAAACTATAAAGGCCGTCTGATTCACGGATAAACAGAATTCCATTGCGCTTGAAATAAATTTCAAGTCGTCATGTTATGTCGTGTATGGGAAAAAAAAAATGTGTCTGCAGCCAACACAAACATTATGACTGCGTGTGTTTCAGGGCTGGTTAGCAGAGGTGGAGGAGAGGATGCCATCCAAGAGCGACACACACCGGAGAAGCGGGATATATGAGACCCAGAACAACACAACAGTGAGCAACAACTGTGCACAAGACAGAGAGAGGTATATTATACTCTGACAAACACCCAGACCCACATCAGTCCCAGACCCCAGAGCTTTTATTTTTTTCGAAAGAAAACTATGAATGTTTTCACAGTATATTTACTGTGTGTGTGTTGGCCCTTGAGCAGCCCGGATGGCAGCTACACAGAGGAGCAGAATTCAGAGACTCAGGTCAAAGCCAACACCCACCCCATCCCCACCTCCTCCACGCCGGAGTTTGACGACGAGTTTGACGACGAGGAGACCTTGCCCACCATCGGCACCTGCAAAGCCTTGTATCCCTTTGAAGGTAACCGCAATCACAGATGTTTGAATTCAAAACACACGCACACAATAGACTTATCTGCTGATGTTTCAAAGCACAAAGCTTGCTCGTGGGTTGAGGCCACACACGCTGTGTATTGGTCAGCTGCAGCTGCAGGGTGGAGGAATGTAATTAGATTTCTTCTGAATGAGGAGGAGGAGTGTGACCTTTCTGAGGAAATGTGCAGACGTGCAACAAAGTGCAGTAATTTCTCTATTTTCAACTTTGAATTCTGAAAAGATTTCAAAGATAGCGCTGGGTGCAAGTAGGTTTTAAATAGCCCTGACTTATCAGAGATGATGAATGCTGATGACCCTTGGAATAAAACAGGATATGCAAACCCTGTGTATGTTCTTAATGATGATTGTGAGGAGTTATTTTAAAGATGCTTTTTATTTTATTCTACTTTTTTATCAATAATGACACAGATGAATTAAACGGCAGCATATTTCATCGCTACCAGAGAGGCCACAACTTTTACTGGCCCTGTTTCATGGCATACATCATTAAAGCTTGTGACTTCATAAAATTAGTCCAAGTTTAATTGTGACGCCCTCAACACAGCATGGGTTGTGAACAGTGACTTCTTCATCTTTTTTGTCTCATTTGAAGTAATTTTATTGGCCTGAAGAGGTGAAAGTGTCTCACATTTAACTTTCAAAAATATACTTTTTTTTCTTTTCATGTTGGGAATCACTGGTCTGAAGTATTAATTTAATATCCCGTATGTTGGAACCACACAGTCCTGGAGTTGGTAATTCATTATTTAAAATATCCACAAACACTTTTATGTCCAATGGAATTTGAATGAGGGCGCTTCCGTCTGCAGACAACCTCCCCACAGCCGCTGATTTACGTTTAAACAAAACATATATTTCATTAATGAGCAGATGAAGTGACTCATTCATGTCAAAACGCAGGCTGGCGTTCCCTCTCTGCACGCTAATGCAGAGTCGAAGTTACATCATTTTCCTGTTGCACAGCAGCTGGTTTTACTTCCTCTTTGTCTCCAGGAAACCTGATTTACAAATGACTCTCTAATCTACATGAAGTTTGTTGAAGTTAGTTCCTCCAAGTGCACAGTGTGTAAATTTCTTGCCCTGTCACTTATTTCTCTCTTCTTTTTTTTTTATTTCATTTTTTTCTCCCCTACTTTTGCAGGTCATAACGAGGGCACTATCTCCGTGGCGGAGGGCGAGCTGTTGTACGTCATAGAGGAAGACAAAGGAGACGGGTGGACGCGAGTGCGCAGGAACGAGGACGAGGAGGGATACGTCCCAACATCCTACGTCGAGGTCTTTTTGGAAACAAATGCCAAAGGTGCTATGACGTACATTTAACTCAGCACAGTGTGTTTCTGTTACTGTGAGTCAGTGCGTTTCCATTCACATGCTAAATGAATGGGGCAAGTTATGGAGATGAAAGATTGTTACTGGTAGCTCAGATAAGAGAATACCCTCCCCTAACACACACACACACACACTTGTTCTCTGTATCCCAATCAGATTTGTCCATTGTGCCTCATGGCAGTTGTTACAGTTGTGGCAGATTGTGTGTATGTGTGTGTGTGTGTGTGTGTGTGTCACTGTGCACTGTTCATGAGCTGTGAACAAAACATATATTGATGTTTAGGAAATGACACTGAATGCCAGCTGAGTCCGGAGGATGTTGTGTGAAAAGAAGCTTGTAGTTCCTCACCACTGATTCACTGCAGTGCCACCTAGTGGTCATGCAAATAAAACACGACACCCACCAACCCCCACCTCCCAGTCGCAGCTGAGCATGATGGGACAAATCACTCACTGACAATGATCACTTGTACATTTCAAACACAGAACTTTATTTGTTTTTTATTAAGATTTGAAATGTCAGATCATCATATTCCACTCAAATCAAGACGCTTTTAATCACAAGTATTTGAGCCAGCGTGGTAATAAATCACTAAACTCAGCTGAGTGAATGTATGCACCCTCTGAAGTGACACTGAACGTCAAGTGAAGTTTGAATCATCGCGCAGGTTACCGCGTTGTGGTCACTTGTCGCACTGTAAAGGAGAGCATGCTCAATGTGCAATCATGCAAATGTAATTTAAATCTGCTGTAAAATATGGAAACATATTAAAAGATATTTTTGTAGGCTAAACAGAAAAAAAAAAAAGAAAAAATCCCCACCCCACCCCCCAAGTGTTGCATGCTATAGATTGACAACATGAAAACGTTGTGAAAGTAATTATCCTCCCTTGTTTAGGGATAATTTTATAAAATTAATGATTGAATCAGTAACTAATTGCCCCCGTTAAGATGTTTTTCTTTTCTTTTTTAATCCACTTTGTGGTAATGATAGTGTTGGGCTGTTCTGGTCCCTTTTTCCAGGCCAGTGGTAAAGGAATAAAGGACTGAGTATTAGCTGTACTAAGCTATATGGTGAGACTGGGCTGAGAGATGGTCATGACTTTAAAGCTTTGTGGTTTCTTGCATGGGTCTCTGAGCAGCACTTCTGTGAACGGTGTTTCGCCGTGAAAGCATGGCGTGTCATTTCACCTCACTGCTATAATGCCGATAATAAGACACTTTGTACGTGTTACTCTTCAAAACTCAGAAATCATCTCTTTCTTCACTCATTACACAAGCCTGTTTAACTTCCTTTCACACGTTTTAATCAGCTTTGAAGGCTCGTTAACAGCACAGCATGGGGTTCCTTTTTGAACGATGTCATTTTACATCAGTGCCGTAAATACACATTTCACGCTTCCTGTAATTTTTTAAAATTTTTTTATTGAACAGCATTTTAAAATGTGGTGCATGCTGCAGTATTTGTCGTGACATGATCTCAGCATGTTGTGACAAAGTCGAGTGGCTGCATTTTAACATGCATTCAAGCCGGATGAAAACTTATCTGAAAGGTTCTTAGTTAAACAGACACGTCTTGGAGGTGTTTCACACATGCAGTATGCGCAGATTGCATTCAGTCAGTTTAAAGTAGTTTCATATCTGCGATGACTTCGTTCTTCCTCCTCTCCATGTCTGAATATTTGGGTTGCTGTCTTTGACTCGATTTTTCCTTTAAATTTATCTAACTTTTCTTTTTGTCATTTTTTTTTTTTTTTTTTTTTTTTTTTTTTTTTTTTTTGTTTGTTTGTATTTCCTTTTTGAATTGCAGATTCCTAAAAGTGTGAGGCTGGCGGAGGAATGGCAGGGCAAGCAGCCTCGGAGAAAACCACCATGTTCCTCACACGCTCACAGAGTCAGAGAGAAAAAGCGAACGGTGACCTGAATCTAAAAGAGAGAGACGTCCGATAGTAACGCATCTCAATTTCCAAACCGTTATAAAGAAAATACAAAAAAAGAAAAAAACTATAAAAGAAAAAACTTATCCGCAGTGTTGCGCTTCCTCTGCAGAACTCTGCAGTGTGAAGCAAGGATGAGAGAAATTCATCTAAATTTTAGCGCTCATAACCTTCTCCATTCTTAACACCCATTCAGCAGTCACAACCACAGTATACAATTTGCTTTTTGTTGTTTTCAGCAAAGCTTTGCTTCTTAATGGAACTAACTCCGCTTGCACCACGCGCGGTCATGAAAGTGGCTTCTGGCTTCCTTGCTCTGAACGCCCCCCCTCCCCCCCCCCGGCTCTGCCACTTCTCTTTTTCCTTACCTTTGACCCGTCGCACACACACCGACACACAAACACACACACACACGGCAGAGGGTGTGGTCAGAGACAGGACGGAGACCAGCACGGGCCTACGGACAAACGACCAGCTGGAGGAAGCCGTGTTCCAGATTCATCCAGCGGTGTGTGTGTGCGTGTGTGAGTCATGAACTCCTCACTCACTCATTGACTCCAGAGAGAATCATCCTGGACTCATCGACCTACATACGAGGCTGTGAACACACACCCACCCTCCCACCCTCCCACCCCACTAAAATCAGCTCCATATTTGCAGGTTTCATCCAGCAGGAAACAGAAGAAGTGAAGGTGCTAATCATTTGTTTCAGTGTCACGTGCTCCTGGTTTGTTTGAGTGGCGTGAATGCTCGTATGTCCGCCTTATTTTAAAGGTTTTGTGTGTCCTAATGTCCCATTTTACTCCCACACACCACCATCACTCCCACATACCCAGGACCACCTAGAGGGAAAAGAGATGGATGATGGGCTCATTCACCATCACTCTCATCCACCAAATCCCGTCTTGTCACTGGTGTCTGTTCCTCTCTCTGACCACACCCCCCCCCCTTCACTTCCACGGTCCTTCCCTGTCTCAGGCAGCTCAGGCTATTCCCTTAAGCTGCTTTGAGCGCGCCCCCACCCCCCCCCACCCAACCCCCCCTACCTTTTTGTTTTTTGTTTTTTGTGCAACAGCTCGGGGGCGGGGCCTCTCAGCGTTGTGGTTTGCTGCATGCTTGCCCTGTCTTCCTCCTCGCCCCTCTGCTGGCAGCCCGGAAGAGGTGGTGGGGGAGTTTGGTCAGCTTATTGCCCCCCCCCCCCCCCCCCCCCCCCCCCCCCCCCCCCCCCCCCCCCCCTCCTCTGCCTCCAGCCTCCAGTCTTTCTGTTCAGTTAACCCTCATTGCCTGGTCGTACTGTTTGAATTAACCTGAGTGCTACTGTTTGGGTTCAGTGCCTGTGGTTCTTCTTCTTCTTCTTCTTTTTTCTTTTTGATATCTCTTTTCTGTTGTCGGATCAGAGAGCATGTTTCCCTGTTTCACCTCCTCCCAGTGTTCCCCAGCTTAATCTCAAAACTGTCAGAAAAGGACAACAGGGACCCGAAATGTTGTTTTCTGAATGATCTTATGCATAGGTAGGTCATGGATGTCATGTGCATTTGTTTTACTGTAAGTTCACAGTACAGTATGTATGTAAAAATGTTAGTATTGTATGTTTTGATCAGAGTGTCTAACGCAAGTTGTTGTTAGTTTACAGTTAATCACCTTGTGGGAAATGTTTCCACTTGGCTCCAGCAGCATTCTACCCAAAAATAAAACCCATGAAGATATGATTTACACCTGATGTTTTAACGATGGTCCACTTACTGCCTGCGGTATATGAAAATATACTGCGATTCATCATGTTCCTGTTCATTTGTGACTGCAGTGTGACAGAATCACCTGTTTTTGGGCCTTAACCGGGTTTGTGTTCAATCACTGAATGATGAGAATGATGCTGATGATGAAGCTGTGGTGTGGTGAAAGGATCAAGTTGTGATTTAGTTTGGGGGGCTTGGGAGTTTTTATGATCATGAAACTGTCAGACGAGAGGAATTATGTCCACTGACCCCCCCCCCGCCTGCTCAATGGCACATAATGTATATGATTTTTAACATTTTTGTTTTATATTTGATGATCTTAAATTGAGATTCTGCTTCTTTTTTTTTTTGTTGTTGTTTTTATTTTAAGCTGGAAATTTGTTGTAGCTTACTCTGCCTGAACGGGACTAAAATCCCTTAACTGCAAATCTAAGTAACAATTACACTGTTTGTGTTTTTGGATGAAGCCATTGCTGAATATTCATGTGATGCAGAATATTATGTACACTTCTTAAACGGATGAGTGATGGACTTAATGACCCTTTGGACTCTTGATGGAAGGAATGATCAATTCCCTGATGAATCGAGCTTAAAAGTACCACGTTTGCTTTTTGCCACCGATCTCAACATGTCAAGATATGAAACACGCCCCTTCTGTTTTTTGTTTTTGTTTTTTTTTTTTTTGTTTCTGAGTGATAAATGACGAGATAAATCTGACGAGGCAAAGACCACCGCTTCACTGGCAGCGGCAGCGCCTGCCCGCCTGTGCTCTGCAACGAGACCACCACAAACCTTTGAGTGGAAGCCCCAGAATAACCTGCCTGTACAGTGGAAATGGCGCGATGGAATTAGAGAGAATATATATGAATATATAAATAAAGTTTAAAAAAAGGAAAACATCTATTTTAACTATTGAGAGTCTTACCATTACTTTATCTGCTTTGCAAAGTAAGACTTCTTTTCCTTTGTAAGGTCTACCAAATGGTGTGTTTTGCACTTTTTTGTTTGTGTTCCATTTGGTAGCCCATGCTTGTGTTTTGGAGCACTGAATACTTTGTATTGTGTTTACTGTGCCAATTAAATATGCCTGGAAAGTAAATAATGCTTTAATTTGTTTCTTTCTCCTCTTGGGAATCAGCCACAATCCCACAGTGTCGGTCGTCACCAACAGCAGCTTTAATGATCCACAATCAGTCCTGGGGCGATAGACGTTTATAGACAGATCTGTTGGTGAAGCTTTATGATCTATTTAATTAAATGAAGATTACGCTGAACACAAATAGACCCTGATGTAATTTCTCTTTCTGTCTCTTTTTGCATATGTGTTGTCACTAAGGCTGGGACTAAAATAATTTATATGATCAGCTTATATGTCAATTATTTTAATTAATCTATTAATTGTTTAGTCTATGAAATGTAAATGAAAGTTCAATGTTACATCTTCAAAAACCTGAACAATGGTCCACAACTCAAAGACAGACCATGTAAAATAACAGAAATAAAAGATAAATAATAAAGAGAAAAGCAGGAAATCTGGAAGGTGGAAACAGAAAATATTTACAATTTCTGCTTCATTAAACAACTCCGACAATTAAGTGACTATCAATATTGTTGCTTATTAATTTTCTGTTGATAAATTGACAAATTATTTCAGCTCTGGTAGTAACCGTACACACTTGGAAGAAACGGTTGAGAGTTTATACACGTTTGGATGTTTCCCCCCTCGGCCACTAGAGGACAGTCACGTTCCATCAAAATGCGCTAACTTGGCTTTAAAGGAAGTATCCAACAATGTTTTCTCTCTCTTCTTCTCCCTTTTTTTTATCGCACTATTTTTCAGTGAAAGTGCAGCACTTTTTTTCAACATGCGAAAACACACAGGTGGTTGTTGAATAATGCAAACTGCACCTCAGACAGGCGTTGAGACGCCGTGTTTGGATTCTGTTTTGCCTTGACTTTACTCTCCCTTTTTTTTTTTGCATTTGAATTAATCTCAGTTAAAGTCTCCTCCAAGGTGTCTTTCATCACACATTGTCGTTCTTCTTCCTAATTGCTGTACTGTGGTTAGATTTCACTGGACCTCCAGACGCTGCAGCGGTCACATGTATTGATCTGGCCCACAGACAGGAACTGGATTGCCAATTGATTCTGGCCCACTGAGCTGCAGCTGTGACCGGTCCCACTCGCCCCACGGAAATATTCAGACGCATGCTGTGGAGCAGATGCAGCACTCACCTCTGCGGACACTTTCAAACAGCCCTAATTGGCCTTTGCTCCCTGGTACCCCTCACGCTGTACTGTACTGTGGCTGAGGAAAATGAATTGCTTCAGTGAATCCTGCGGGGTAAGTCAGTTTCCCCATTCAAACATGATTCAGAGCTTCTTAATGGGCTTATTTGGCAGGGACATCCAAGTCATCAATTTATATTCTTTGCGGGAGTTGGCCTGGAGAACAACAGAAAGTTTCATCTGTAGTCACAGGCTATTTTTTAAAAATAGCAGGGATAAAATGCGCACATGCTAATCATCTTTGAAGGCATCAAAGTGCTAAAATACACCCAAAAAAGATGGAACTGGCAAACAGACATCATCGAGAGGGACAGAAAATACAAACCAGTGCTGTGACAAGCAGGCATGTAAACTAAATTTAAGCTGGCAGAATAAATAGACGGCACCGCAACATCACATAACACAACCGGCTCTTTTTAGTGCTACGCCTGGAGTGGTGCGGTGTCTGCTTCATCTGTTCTGTGTGAAGATGAACAGATCATCCCACAGCAAACCGCACTCCTTCTCTAGAAGAGGCCTCTGCTTTCAACTGTACTGTAGGGATTGATTAAACCGGCCCCTGACAAATCCTCCATCTGTCTTTAGGCCCCTGTAAGTCAGAGAACAGTCTCTACAGACTTAATATCTATCATTCAGTCGCTGATGGATCATTCACACCTTTGTGACGCAGCTTCTTTTTTTTCGTTTCGTTTGTTTGTTTGTTTTGCTGTTTGTTGTTTGAAGCAGGTATGAACCAAACTAATGATCCGTTGCCTTTAATCTTAGGATTCTGGCTGCACCTTCAACAACCTCGGAACATCATACACTCCCTCTGCTTTGTATACGCAGAAGTGTCAACAAATACAAAATCGTGCGAAACCTTCTCGTTAATTAACACAAAAGTCTGATCATCTCTGATCGTTATCTCCTGCTGCCCCTGACTAAGAAGACTGTGCTTTTTCAAGGAAGTCAGGGGTTTTATTTTCTTGAGTGGAACAGACACCACAGTGTTATTATTTGATTGTCTGTGAACCGGGAGGGCAGTGTTGAGGCTGAAGGCCTGCAGGTAATATGAACACGCAGGTTAAAAGGTCTGGTGTGCTGCAGAGTCCGAACAACCTGCAGACAGCGAGAGGGAGGAATATGCTGAATGCCATCCGAGGGTTCGGGGGTTCAACACCTCCCTTTCCAACCTACAGTACAACGCGTAAAGTTTGTCAGAAGCTTGTCGGTGTTTGACAGCCATCACTCAGATAAAGATGAGAGATGCTGTGGTGGAAGGAGAGAGGAGGAAGGGTAGTTTTCCCGCATGACCCGG